ACGCGATCATCCCAAGCTACTTATTGCGGCCTCCTTTGCCTCCCTCTCTCGGCTTCGTCCTGTCCAATAGCTTCTGCGCCAGCATCTCCAAGTGCCCCTGAGGGGCCGCTCCCCATTTCGCCTTGCCGCCGAGCTCCTCCAACAAGATGATCGTGGCGCTCTCGATCTCCAACTTGCTGTGCGATATTTCGCCCATTCCTTCGGCTGCTGGTACGTAGAGGGTGTCTGCAATGGAGAACTGGATCCGCGTGAACTCGTCGTTGTAGCACTTCTTGAGCCTGAAGTGCCTGACCATCAGCGCGAGCTCTTTGACTGAGGCCACCGACGCGAACTTCTTGTAGAACGCGTCGACTATCAGATGCGCCTGCGGCTTGTTGGTCTGCAACGCCGTCGACTCTGCCAGGGACTTGTACACGGCGCGCGCGACGTGCAAATGAGGTGGCCCCAGCTGCGGTTTGAGAGCCTCGATCTGCGCTGCTTGTGAGCATTGCTTGCCTGCTGCCCGGCCTGCTTTGATCACCTCGGCGGTCGTCGGCGTGAGAACGGATAGCCATTCTGAAGCGGCGAGGTCGCGTAGTTGTTGTGCGTGTTGGCACGAGAGTTTGAGGGGCACCATGAGAGCCTGCTGCATGTCCTTCTGCTTGAGCGCGCCCTCGGCCCAGAGGAGGGCCTCGTCTGCTGCCTCTGCCATCTCCGCGAGCTTCTGCTTCTTCTTGTCGCCTCTTGGTGTGCCGACGCGCCGCCTGATGCCGCGCCTGCTCCTCCGCCGCTGGGGGCTCCTGCCTCTGCCGCGGGCTGGTGGCGCTTGAGCAGCGTCTCGAAGTCCACCGAGCTCATGGCGGCGCCTCGGCTGCAAGCGCGCCTGCGCTATCGTCGGGGGGGGGGGGGGGGGGGGGGGGCGCAGTGTCCACGAATGTGAATCTGAAGGTCTAGTAACGTTTGAGCCGTGAAACTGCACACTGGGCACGCTAAACACCGAGGCTGGATAACTTCTGACGAGCTGTAAGAACTCCTGCCGTGATAACAAACGTTTCTTTGACAGCTTGTCATGACGTGTCTCTGCGCGTTCTCTTTCGTGCTCAGGGTTTGAAGGCATCTGAAACATTGATTGGCCACCGTCAACAGAGAAGCTTCGTTTCGAACTCGATGGGCCCGACCCGCGTGTAAAAGTAAACTCTTCATCGTGGGAAAAACTTCACCGCAGACTCTACCATCTGCGTCTCGCATTTTACACTCGTATGGCTTCGGGCGGTCCTCGCCACCCTCGTCGTCGTCCGGCATCTGCTCGTCTATCGTGTTCGAGTCGATCGGCGGTCCGATGGAGTTGGTAAACAAGCTCGCTCGGGTGATCATGAAATCGATGTCGACCCATTTCGAGTAGTCATAATAGCGGGAACTCAAAGGGGACCAGGTCCTGAAAATTCCTCCGAGATTTCGCACCCGAACTGCAAGTCCTGTAAAACCTGTTTGGCCCATGGGTTCGCTTGTGGGGTGATGTTCCAGTTCTCGTCGATCGAGTCGTCGCCCCCCATGCCTCCGAGAATCGCAGCTCGCACCTGCCTCTGACAAGACGAAAGCTGTGACCAGCTCTGGTACCACTTCAGTCGACGTACCTGGAGCTCCTGTGCAGTGGGTAGAATGCGCCAGTGCTGCCGCGAGCGCTGAGAAGACCATCTGCGCATCTCGCCAGACTCATGTTCCGGGAGGCCCCTCAACCCCAGTCCCCGTCTCATAGCCCGGAGTACAATCTTGTCCGAAACCGTCGAGTAATAATCATCTGGAATACGACCTTCCATTCTCGATAATAAGGCTGATTGAACAAACGCGATGATCCACATGCGTTTAAAACTGAGCGCCGCGTTGTGCACTAGGAAATTTGATATCATGCCTAAACCCGTCCTGCCCGCCTGTAGTCGCTTAGTACGTTCAACCTGTAGCGACCCCGAAGTAGTCAGCAGCCACCCGCCCAAAACTCGCATAAATCGTCCACACTGTCCTGGATAAGGTAGAGCTCTGGAATAGAGTAGTCTGCGCTGCGTCGTGCAGCCAGTCCCGAAAACTTTGGCTAGCGTAGCTGGTTTATCATCATTAAGTCGAACTCCTACCTCTTCAAGATTTTCTGAAAGACGTCTACTGCTCGAGGAGGCCACAGCTAATAAGTGAGCTGCCTTTCCCCCCCCTGGATGCGGTGGTGGCCCCCGGCTTGGAATAACGCACTTCGTGATGTCGTCAGCGTAAATCGCGATCCCCGCATCCGTCGTCATGTCGTCGGGCTCGCGTGCCAGAGCGTATTGGGCCGAGCTAGTAGCGTGCTGATAGGAAAGGAACGGCTCGATCCCATTCTGGTAGTAGTAAGGAAAGGCCCTAGCTGGATTAGGCTGTCCCATCATCTCCCCCGTCGTCGGCCTGGGAGCTACGGGCCCCGAGTGAGTTTCGATCTGGAAGGCCCCCTGGATTGTACGGGCATCCTGGAATCTGAGGTCCTCTGGAGTGTACAAGT